GCACCCTCCGGCTGACCCTCGGTCGGGAACACCGTCGCAGCCGGATCAATCGGCGCGCCACCCTCAGTATCATTCGTCGCCGCCGGCAACGTCACCGCCGTATCCTTCGGCGTGGACTCCGTATCATCCGACGCCACCGGCGGATCCTCAGGCTCCGTAACCGTGACCGTCAACGTCGCCGTATCCGTAGCACCGTTCTCATCCGTGATCTGATACACCACCGGCTTCGTCTCACCCGTGAACTCCGGCTCCGGCGTGAACGTGACCGTCCCATCCGGGTTGACCCTGTACTCGCCCTCACCAGGCACCGTCACCGTCTTCCCATCCTCAGAGACCACCGCACCCTCCGGCTGACCCTCGGTCGGGAACACCGTCGCAGCCGGATCAATCGGCGCGCCACCCGCAACATCATTCGTCGCCGCCGGCAACGTCACCGCCGTACCCTGCGGCGTAGACGCCGTATCGTCCGACGCCACCGGAGGCTCCCCAGCCTCCACCACCGTGACCGTGGCGCTGCTGGAGTTGTTCTGACTATCCCCTCGATCACGCACCGTGACCGTGTTGGTTACTTCACTCCCTGGGTCGCCCGTGACCGTTGAAGTGTAAGTAACCGTCAGTGTCTCCCCGAGATCAAGGCCACGAGACCCCCCGCTTGGCTCCCCTGCCGCCCCAGGAGCCGAATAGTCTCGACTGCAATTCAATGGATTTCGCATCTGATCGCCCACAGATGCGTCGCAGGTCACCTCGCCACGACTCAGAACGTCGTTACTACCTCCAGAGACTGAAACACCTGTAATAACCCCACCGTTGGGGAGGGAATCCTCGAGGGTCACAATGTCGCCGCGAGTCATAGGGTCGGGAAATTGTTGGTGACAGAGACCGTCCACGTCACTGTCGACCCAGCTGGAGCATTCTCGGGGCTTGCTTGCTTGTCGACCTCAAGGTCGTACCCACACAAGACCCACTCCAACCGAACATCACCATTAGGTCCGTTGCCATTGTTCACGCGCGGACCCGCAACGGATGTTATATCCTCCGGCCCGCTGATAGGGCCGTCCGGATTGATGTAGCTGGCGCCGCCACCACCACCGGCTCCAGTAACGCCGTCCTGAACGGGTGCTCCGGTGCCGTACACAATGGTGCCAGCACCACCACCACCACCGTAGTATCCGCCACCGCCACCGCCGCCGGAGTCGAGATCCTGATCAGGACCGCCATTCCCACCAGTGCGGCCATCTCCCATCGATCCGTTAAGCGTTGCGCGTGAGGAGTGAACACCGCCAAGGCCGGGAGCGGATTCCTGCCCTCCCTGCGCACCGCCAGGAGTTCCTGGCTGGTTCTGCCCATTGAGCCCATCCAACCCATTAGCGCCTAGGGTAACGCCCGCGCCAACGGGCAATCCCCCGTCACCGCCCAAACCAGTATTGATGCTGTGGCCACCGCCCAGGCCACCACCACCACCAGCCACAATCGCGGTTTCGCCGCCCAGCCGAACCTCAGTCCAGCCGCCACCGCCAGTACCGTGGTGCCTGATTCCGTTTGGGTCGCCTTGTTCTACAGTGCCGCCGCGACCGCCGCCATTGACGCCGCCGGGGCCTTCACCGCCGACAGCGTTCCGGTCTTGTCCACCGCCCCCACCTACGCTTCCATC